TCATATCATATCATGGGGCTGCTAGCGCCGGTGCGAGGCTCACGGCTCGGCTAGCACCAGCGCAATGGAGGGTGAGCGCGTGCGCACACTGGGCCAGCCACTCACACGGCCCAGTGGCCAAGAGGCCCCAGCCCGGCCCATCGGTTGGGGACCTCTGCCCTAGATGCAGCCCAGGGCTTCTTGGGCAACAGGATGGCAAGGAAGAGGCCTCCGTGCCAGGTAAGGTGGACAAAGGGCTGCACCCAACCTGGGTGTTCTTTCCAACCGTAGGCCCCACCTGCCGGGAAGTGCTGGCGCCCTGCGCGGAGGGTCCCTGCAAGAATGGCGGCCAATGCAGAGAGTCGGAGGACTACGAGAGCTTCTTGTGCACCTGCCTTCCGGGATGGCAAGGTAGGGGGGGGTGTCGTGGCTTTGCAGCGCCCCCTTGGGGTTTCTGATGGGTCACCGTTCAGGCAGGCAAGGGCAGACTCCAAAAGGCGAGCTATGGGGAAAGGAAGTAACCTTTCAGAACCAAAGTAGCAGAGTTGGAAGGGACCTTGTAGGTCAGTGGTGGCGAACCTATGGCACGCGTGTCAGAGGCGGCACTCAGAGCCCTCTCTGTGGGCACATGCGCCATGCCCTGGAGATGGCAACTGTCCCTCTTCAACCAGCCTCCCGCTGACTCGCCGAGGTCCCACATGGCCGGATGCATCCCAGCACCCATGTGCTCGCTGGCCTCTGTGTGCAGGGGCCGATGGTGTCAGGCAGCAGCCACCCCCGGCCCCTGCCTCACCTTGCCCTGTGACAATGGCACCCCTGCCCTGCCTCACCTCGCCTCGCCTCTCCCCGCAGGACGAGCCTCCTGCCCACCGCCCCACCTGCCAGAGACCCCCTGGATCTCCCCCAACCTTGCCTGGCCCCCACAGGCGTCCCTCCCCACAAGCAACATCGAGGTGACCATGCCCACCTTGGCCACACCCACCCAATCTGCCATGACCACCACAGCCATGCCCACCCAGTGGGCCACGCCGACCTGGCACCCGGCGATAAATAACTGGGTTTTGGGTTGCAGTTTGGGCACTCGGTCTCTCAAAGGTTCGCCATCACTGTTGTAGGTCATCTAGTCCACCCCCCTGCCCAAGCAGGAGACCCTACACTGTTTCTGACAGAGGTTGTCGGGTGAGCAGCTTGACTGCATCTTGGTGGATACAGACCTGTAAAGCAGTGTTTTTCTCAACCTTTCAGCTCTAAGATATCTGGACGACCATTCCCAGAATCCCCCACGGCTGGCTGGGGGATTTGGGGAGCTAATCCAGACGTTTTAAAATTGCCAAAGTTGAGAAGACTGCTATAAAGAGCAAAGTATTTATTTCGATAGCTCGTATTTAGGCTTTGCGCCAGCTCAGCCTTTTAAATTGCATATCCCTGCTCTGGATATCTGCAGAATTCTCTCCCAGAATTCTCATCGAGTAGCTACACCGCCTGGGGAATTCTGGGGAATTCTGGACGTCTTCTGCGTTTGAGCTAATTAATGGGCTTAAATAATTGTGAACGTAGACATCCCCAATCCAGTCTAACAATGTTGAACGGTTTTTATAGTATGGAGGCGAACATTTTGATCCCTCCTCCCTCTGCTGCGCTAATTTCATTTTTTTATATGCTCTGCACATACATTGAGACGGCAAGTCTAAACCATTAGCTGATGCTTAATTAACTGTTTCTCAATCCTAATTGGTCTTCATTAGCCAATTAATTAAACCCCTCAGAAGAGCCCTGCTGGGTGATGGTCCCACAGTAACCACGCAGACATTCTCAAATATGGAGAGTGTCGTCTCTTCCACTTTAGCGTTTCAGGCTCAAAGTAGGAACAGTGGCGGCCTCTGCTCCATCATCCGACTTCAGTTATCTCCGTAGATGCCTCTGTCTCCTGTGGCTGTAAAGTCCTCCATATAGTTAGAGCAGAGCTGTTTTTTTAAATCTGCTGCTTTGTAGACATGCATTTGCAAACTCTGGTAAAGATTTAGAGCATGGATTGGGGACGGGGGGACGGGGGCAGTTTGGCCTTGCCCTGCAAGACGCAAAAATGATTTTATATCTCCTTTCCCCTGTCACCATCCGGGGCGGTGGTGCTTTTTTAGAAGCTGCTCATCCACCCCTCTCTGAAATGGGCCACTACTGGCAAACTTCTGTAAAAGATGAAAGTGGTACTTGAGGTCATTTGCATGACACAATGGCGTGGTCAATCAGAATAGAGCTGGGAGGGACCTTGGAGGTCTTCTAGTCCAGCCCCCTGCTCAAGCAGGAGAACCTATGCCATTTCAGACAAGCGACTGTCCAGACTCTTCTTAAAAACCTCCAGGGATGGAGCACCCACAACTTCTGGTGGCAAGCTGCTCCACTGGCTAATTGTTCTCATGGTTAGGAAGTTTCTCCTTAATTCCAGGTTGCTTCTCTCCTTGATTGGTTTCCATCCATTGTTTCTTGTCTTCCCTTCTGGTGCTTTGGAGAATAGCTTGACCCCCTCCTCCTTGTGGCAGCCTTTCAAATACTGGAAGAGTGCTTTCACGTCCCCCCTAGTCCTTCTTTTCTTTAGACTAGCCAAACCCAAATCCTGCAGCCGTTCTTCATATGTTTTAGTCTCCAGGCCTTGGATCATCTTAGTCGCTCTTCTCTGCACTTTTTCCAAAGTCTCAACATCTTTTTTGTAATGTGGAAACTGCAGCATTCCAAGTCTGGTCTCCCTTTGCTTCTCAGGGCAAACGTGTGAGATTGACATCAACGAGTGTGTGAAGAGCCCCTGTCGGAATGGCGCCACGTGCCAAAACACCAACGGGAGCTACCGCTGCGTGTGCAAATCTGGCTTCACCGGGGAGAGCTGTGAAACCGACATCGATGACTGTCAACCCAGTAAGAATAGCCCAGGAAACAAACTCCCAATTAGGGCCTGTCCCGGGTGGGCCCCAAGGATTAACTGAGCTGGGGGGGGGAGGGGGGCAGGAGCATCCGGGCAGCCGATCTGGTGCCCTTCCAAGCTGCTCTTTCAATGGGGAAAACTGTCTGCCCCCCCCCACTGTCCTCCTCACCATCTGGGCACGCAGGAACATATCTGCAGGTCAGCTGCTTGGGGAAGTTGGTCTTGGGGACATGGGAGGGAAAAAGGGCTGTCTCCCTTTGCAAAGTGTGTGTGTGTGTGAGAGAGAGAGAGAGAGACAGACAGACATCCCTTGGCTTCTTATTCCAGAAATACTGCACCATGGATTTAAATTCCTGGAAGGCAGTTTCCAGGCCTGCTAGAAGCAGGGATCCAGAGGTGTGGGGTTCACTTTCCGGGGTGTGTGTGTGTGTTGAAGAGGGCATGGGAGGCAGGAACGCTCCTGCACTGATTGGGAGGGCGCCCCACAGACCCCCCCCTTCCCTCCTCCTGGTGTTCTGAATGCGATGCCAGTCTGCTTCTCTCTCTCTCCCCCCCCCCAGATCCCTGCCACAATGGGGGCTCCTGTTCTGACGGCGTCAACGGCTTCTTCTGCAACTGCCTGGCAGGCTTCCAGGGCCCCAAATGCCAGGAAGACATTGACGAGTGCGCCAGCAACCCCTGTGAGAACGGGGCCAACTGCACCGACTGCGTGAACAGCTACACCTGCACGTGTCCGTCCGGCTTCAGCGGGATCCACTGTGAGCACAACACTCCCGACTGCACGGAGAGGTAGGTTGGTCTACGATGAGCTTTCCCCCGTCTTGACAACTTAAAGATGGGTAGACTTCAGCTTCCAGATTTTCCCAGCCAGCCAGGAATTCTGGGAGTTGAGGTCCACCCGTCTTCAGGTTGTCAGGGCTGAGAAATGCCGATCTAGGATCTGCCAGATGGGTCAAAACAGACCCCTTGTTATCTAAGGCTTCATGCAAGGTCTAGCGCAGTGTTTCTCAACCTTGACAATTTTAAGGCATGTGGACTTCAACTCCCAGGCTGTGGAATTCTGGGAGTTGAAGTCCACATGCCTTAAAATTGTCAAGGTTGAGAAACACTGCACTAGCATCTCTGCTTCCAGGAGGGGTCAAGTCAGGCCAGGGGTGGGTGACTCTCTCTCTCTTCCTCCTGTCACTCAGCTCCTGCTTCAATGGGGCCACCTGTGTGGATGGCATCAACACCTTCACCTGTGTCTGCCCACCTGGCTTCACCGGCATTTATTGTGAGCACGACATCAACGAGTGTGACTCCAGGCCTTGCTTGAATGGGGGCACGTGCCAGGACAGCTACGGGACTTACAAATGTGCCTGCCCACAAGGCTACACCGGACTCAATTGCCAGGTAACCAGCAATTCCACTTCCTGCTCCAGGTGGAATATTTGCTCCGGGTTTTCAAGGAGGGGGAGGAGGACATACAGGTAGTCCTCGCTTAGTGACCCCCAACTGGCATGGGCAATGTGGCCATTAAGCGAAGCGGCTGCCAGCCCATCTCACTTCAGCTGTCCTGTGCTGTACAGACCTGCAAGGGTTGCAAATGCAATGGCCATAAGGTTATTTTTTTTTATAGCCGCCATAACTGAGAACCCTCCCTAAACAAGGCAGTCATTAAACGAGGACCGTCTGCAATGTCAGGCACCTCTGGGGAAGAACACGTTTTAAGGATCGAGGTTGAAGTGGAAGGAAAGAGGCAGGGAAGCACTTGCAAACATTTTGAACAGCAACACTTTTGCTCCGTCCGTCAGTTATTTCACAGGGTTGGTTATTAGTATTGCTTTATACAGCCTTTAGTGAGGCCACACCGGGAAGGCCGCATCCAGTTTTGGTCACCACATTATAAAAAAAGATGTTGGGACTTTGGAAAAAGTGCAGAGAAGAACAACTAAGATGATTAGAGGCCTGGAGACTAAAACATATGAAGAACAGCTGTTGGATTTGGGAATGGCCAGTCTAGAGAAAAGAAGGACGAGGGGGGACATGATAGCAGTGTTCCAATATCTCAGGGGTTGCCCCAAAGAAGAGGGAGTCACCTTATTCTCCAAAGCCCCTGAAGGCAGAAAAAGAAGCAATGGTTGGAAACTCATCAAGGAGAGAAGCAACCTGGAATTAAGGAGAAACTTCCTGACAGTGAGGACAATTAAGCAGTGGAACAGAAGTTGCCTTCTGATGTTGTGGATGCTCTGTCACTGGAGCTTTTTAAGAAGAGACTGGACAGAAATGGTCTAGGCCAGGGGTAGGCAACCTTGGCTCTTTTATGACTCGTGGACTTCAACTCCCAGAATTCCCAGAATTCTGGGAGTTGTTGTCCACGAGTCATAAAAGAGCCAAGGTTGCCTACCCCTGGTCTAGGCTCTCCTGCTTGAGCAGAGGTCTCTTTCAGCTCCGTTCTGATTGACCTCGGCACCCGTGGGGCTCCCCCAAAGCTTGGCCTTATGGGGACAAATGCCCCACTCGCCCGATCAATGGATAAGCCTCCGTGCGCCCTCTAGAGGCGAGCCCCAACTCTTCCTGGCTGTTCAGCACATTGGAAAGGTTTTTGAGCATTGCAGAATGTGACAAGGATCGGTCCCACAACCAAGAGAATTGGGGCTGCCAGCATGTTCAGCGGTGGGCAGTTGGCATCTGTGCGGGCCTTCTGCCGGAAGCGTCTCTGGAGTCTGCACGAGGCAGTCGAGGTGTATTTGGGCTCCTCGTGGAGTCGCAGGCGACAGAGGCCTGAGATACGGCCAAAATGAGAAGCGGGAGGGGAGCTCTCACTTCCTGTCCCTGGCAGCCTCTCTGGGGGGCTGTCCCTCGCTGGGGGTGCTCTCCGAGACGTCGCTCAGCTTCCGCTTAGCCTGCGGCCGCCTCAGCACAAAAGGATACCTCTTCTGTCCCCTCACCGCGTGCGCCATCCTCTTCCCCCCCTTGTCTCTGCAGAACCTGGTCCGCTGGTGCGAGTCCTCTCCCTGTAAGAACGGAGGCAGGTGCTGGCAGGTCAGCAATCACTACCGCTGCGAGTGCCTGAGTGGCTGGACCGGCCTGTACTGCGACATACCCAACGTCTCTTGCGAGGTGGCCGCGCGACGGCAAGGTGGGTCCTGCTTCCTGCTCCGTGTCCTGACCTCCATGCTGGAGGATGGAGGGAGGACTTTCAGCAGGTGCCTCCCTCCAGGGTCCTCGGTCTCTGTCCAGGTGGAGCGTTGCCGATTCCGGGCAACTCTTTCTTTTTTTTTT